TTAAAAAATTTTTTTTTTTCCCAAAACACAAAGATTTAAAAACAAAAAAAAAAAAAAAAAAAAAAAAAAAAAAACTAAATTCCCACCCTCATCTATGGTCATGAGCTTTGGACCGAAAGAACGAGATTATGGATACAAGCGGCTGAAATGGGTTTCCTCCGCAGGGTGGCTGGGCTCTCCCTTAGAGAGAGGGTGAGAAGCTTGGTCATCCAGGAGGGATTTAGAGTAGAGCCGCTGCTCCTCCACGTCAAGAGGAGCCAGTTGAGGTGGCTCGGGCATCTGGTCAGGATGCCTCCTGGACACCTCCTTGGTGAGGTGTTCTAGGCACGTCCCACCAGGAGGAGACCTCGGGGAAGACCCAGGACAGGCTGGAGGGACTATGTCTCTCAGCTGGCCTGGGAACGCCTTGGGGTTCCCCTGGAGGAGCTGGAAGAAGTGGCTGGGGAGAGGGAAGTCTGGGCCTCCCTTCTGAAGCTGCTGCCCCCACGACCCGACCCCGGATAAGCGGAAGAAAATGGGTGGATGGATGGAAAAAAAAAAGTTTTAAATATTTTCTTTATTCTAATCTCTTTAAAATGACTGTTTCACTTTCAGACATGAATGGCAAGAAATATGGCACTTTTACGCAATTTTCTTTTTTTTTTTTTTTAGATGTACTTTAAAAGTGTGTTATGTGTCTGTGAGTAACTGTCCTTCAGTTACAGCTCAGTCTCATCAGATCTTGTTTTATTCCATGTATCTGTTCTGCTGCTTGTTGGACAGCTAAATGTCGGTTTTATCCCTCCAGACGTTTTCCTCCAGTCTCCAGCTGTCCATATCTTCCCCTCAGCTCTACGTTCCCCTGCAAAGGGAAACTTGGGCTTTTTTCCCCCCTCCAACAATTATTTTTCTTCTCATAATTTTTCCATAAAAGTCAGATTTCTAAAGCGTACTTACAACAGATATCCTGTCAACACATTCCCCACCTGAGCTGTGCATCTCTGCAGATCCTCCACAGCTACCATGGTCCTACTTTGCTCTCCTTGCGAAGGACTTACAGCTGGAGTTGCAGAAAAAAGTTTTTCTAAGCAGCATTAAGTCAGAGGGACTGAAGGTTAAAGTGCATTTCAAGTTTTTTTTCTGCTTATTTTAAAATCACAATTTTGTGATTGAAATGACATTGAAGTTTACTGTTGGAAAGTGGTCAAATCTAAACATACTGAATACTGATGATGAGCTCTGTAGAAGGAAGGTGGTCTGTAGGTGGAAATGTAGATCAGTTGCTGTCTGGGAATCCTAAAAGTGACTAACTCTTGTAGATCAGTTAGTATTTGATTAACTTTTTTGTTTTTTTAAATCCCAGTAAAATGAAGGCTTTCGCCTCTTGGTATCGTCAACAAGCTGTTCAGAACTCAGATCCATCTACGTGACCGGTCTTTATAGCTGAGCTCGTGCTGCTGTTCGTTCTGATCGATCACATGAACAGCATTAGATTAAAGGCTGATTTCCTCATCAATAAAATCAATCGTACATCCCTGAAGTATCTCAGCTTGTGAGATGTTCTTAGTTTACAGAACTCTGTACCTGACAGCTTCTCTAACAGAGTATTTAATATTAAATATTTATACAAACACATTTATCCACATGTACAAATTGCATTAACCTTCCAAG